CTTAAATCCCTCAGCTGACACTGACTGCAAAGCTCAGCTAAGATCATAAGTCTTAGCCATTTCAGATGGCTATTTCACACAGTATTTACCAATTCATGTTGAGGTATCTATCCTCAAATCCCTGTGGCCAACTCTTAGTTCTCTATGCAAGCAAGTAAGGGGTGTTTCTCAACATGATCTCCATGGAAAGGATTTGGACAATGTCAAAGTCACAAAACACTTTTCTGAAGAGTCTTCTGGGACTTCCATTGTAAACGTGGAGGCAACAAAGCTGCGTGACAGCCCCAGCTACATGCACTGGGAATATTTCCACTGACTTTCCTGTGCTCTGACCTTTTCCTATACTGGTTTTTTTGCATTCTTAAATTTCTCCTTAATTTCCCAGGTTTTAATCTCAGTGAGAACACCTAACTGAGTAAGTAACACAGCTCCACTGCAGCAGAAAAAAACCCCTAAACCAATCCCCTCAATAGCCCAAGAAACTAGTTCTTTTTTTTCTCTGGGACTTCTTTTGCATGACACTGTATTTCACAAGCAGCAAGACGGCTGATTTGTAATGGAGAGGGACCATGAAAGAAAATGCTCATTGCCTGCATGAGCTGCTCTTCATAAGCATAACCTTCTTCAAACATTTCTGTGCTTTACATGACTGTTCAGTAATTCTGATCCCATTCCTACATAACCAACTCACATGGGCATAGTTGGTGAAAATAAAAAGGCCCTCCAGTCTCTAAGGAACATATGATAAGACAAATGGCAAAATCCAGTTCCTACAATTTGGCATTGTTACACACTCACTAAATCTCGGGAGAAGAACCATTAAAACCATTCTATACAACTCCCAGTTTATGGAGGTTTGTCTTTACTCCCAGTCACCTCACTTTTGACTAGAAAAATGGGCATCCAGGATAGACCACAGAGTGCTTATGAGGACTGCTGAGACTCACCAGGCAGGAGAGGTAGGACTGTCTTCAGCCTCAGAGTGACAACATCAGCATCTCCCACACTTTGCTGTGCTGGGAACGTCTTTGCAATGAGCATATCTGCTGGTGCTGCTATACCTGCAAAGGGAGAATGCTCTATCCAAATTCCCGATTATGTCTCTTTGGATACAGTGCCTTTAACACAAATTCTAAAATGCACCCAAATATCTAATTTCACTAGTTCACAAAGCGAAGACATAGAGCAACTGAATATGCCCTTAGGCAACATGAGGGAGTTAATACAGCTACCAGGATCAATGGCATCCTGACTGAAGGGACGTGAAGCAGTTATGGACACTGCATTAAGAACACTCTGCCTTTAGAGTTTCTTCCTCTGGAAATTTTGTTAGAGCTGTGCTTGGTTTGGTAGAATTAAAAGGGAAGGTATCAGGTAGGAAAAGCCTGTGAGCATGAATTCACTCTTGCAGATTGACAGCTAGGCGTGAAAGCAGAAAAGGAAGAAGGAGTATGTTCCTTGCCTACTGAGAAATTTAAAATTAACCTGAACTTCGGCTATGGGAGGATTATTCAGCAAAGGGGAAAAGATCAAGTGAAAATATTTACAGCAACTTCACTGTTTACTTAAACAAACAAATAATATTCTGCTTCTTTCCTTTATCACTGCTCCCTAACTCAGTATAGCGGGACATTAGAACTCAAAAAACAATTTATGAATAATCAGTGTTTACGTCAGCACAAAAGCAAGCTCTCAGCAGCTGCCTGGTACTTCTTACATTCTGTATACACATACATTAACCTTTACAAAACCACACAAAAAAGCTTTTTTTTCCCATTTAACATAAGATTACCCAGCACACCAGGCACAGTACACAGGGAACTTGGGAAGAGGGTGACAAGTGGATGGCCAAGTATCAGCACATCCCTTGCCAACACAAGCTGTAAGGAAATAGAAGCCCTGAAGGCCTAAGACGGCTGGGCAGGAGCGAAGGTGTCAGGAGAGCTGCTGGGTCTTAACTCTGTTGTGCAGCAGCAGCAACGGCCTTAGAATCCTAACGAGGTTGGAGTTTATGCCAAAAGGCAACTAAAGCGTGGAAATGATGACAAGCAGGACGTGTGTTTTATTACAAAACCTTATGGTTATTTTCACCTCCTTTCTAGACGATTTAAATTAAAAAACAGCCATAAAAACTAATATACAAAGCCCAGCAGGAAAAAAAATTTCAGTCCTTGAATGCACGTGGTCTCAGAAAACACATCCAATAAATTCTAGTCCTGGACGTAGCCCTCTATTGTGCAAGGACTTGACAGCATGTCTTTCTGAAGACCTGATGCCCCACAAAACCACAGCGGCTCAAGGCACCCAAGAGGGACACAGCACCCTCACGCTGGGCTAGTGGTGCACCAGAGGTGCGAGTGCCAACAGCAGGAGACACATGTTTTGGACATAGGCCCGAGGTGTGAGAGGCGACCACCTGCCCTTCTCCTTGGCCAGCAAACCACAGGCCGCCTAACCGAGACCCACACTGAGGCAGCATCCCTCAAAGGATTCCCCTAAAAACTGCGGCTCCGCCACGCCTCACTTAAAGCCCTCTTTGAGTCACCACGCTGCCAGCCAGCCTTGTTCTTTGCCCCCTGAAGGCGCACACAGGCGGGCAGGGAAGGAAAGCGGAGCTCGGCCCCTCAGCAGCGGCTCCCACCGAGCGTGCGACAGCATCTGGCGGGGCGGCGGGGGCTACACGGCCCGCCGAAGGAGGCCCCACTTCGGGGTCTCCAGCTCGCCGAGGAGGGAGGCGCGGCGACGGCTGGAGCCCCTCAGCGGGCGCCGGGGAGGCA